TGTAAACATATGAGAAAATATAATTCGTGATATAACAAAAATTTGTTTCTTTGAAATAAATATAATATTTTTCTAGACAGCTATAACCAAGACTGTAAAATTACTGAAAAGACACAGAACAATTGCTAATCTAATGGAGAAATATCTCAACTCCATGGTTAGGCCCCCAATAGTGTAGAAATGATAGTTTGCCAAAGACTAACCTGGGTATTTCATTCCAATCAAATGCCAACAGTATTTTTATTCATACTTGACAAGCTAATTCCAAAGTTTATATGGAAAAAAATAAATATTTTATTCAAAACTAAGAGGGCAGCTTTTTTGATCATCAAGGATAATACAACAAAAAGCTGACTTAGAGGGTGTAGCATTAACACAGGGACACTTAAATAAATCAAAGAAAAATAATAGAGGATTCAAATATAATACATCCAAGAATAAATTGAGATTTCATTATTGCACATGTAGAAATTTAAATTAGGAGTGAAAGGATGAACTCTACAAAATAAATCTGACCTACATGTTTAAGAATCACAGTGCTTCTTTTGTGTAATAAATCCAAAGAGCAAATAAGGGCCAACATAGATAATAGATATTAGAAAACAGTAAGAAAATGGTCAAACTAGAAGGGGAACTAGGGACAGAGGAGGGGAGAAGGAATGAAGAAATGGAGGAAAAATAAAAAAGAATGGAAAGAAAATAACATAAATAAAGTTTTGTAAAGGGATAAAGAAGTAGGATTGCAGAGAAGGAAAGGGAATGGAGAAAAGAGGAATATATATTATAAACAGGTACATATTCCCTAGGATGAATGTGGTTGTTATGTTTGTCAAAAGTGTATATATAATTAATTTAAAAAGGCCAACGAAATAAATTCTCCAGTGATCCCTACCTCATATATATAAGAAGAAATTTTAGTAAATGAAATTTAAAATGTATTATAGACTTAAAAATGAATACATCCAAGTATAAAATATGAAAAGTAGCTTTTACAATAAGGAGATGAAGAAAGCCATCCTAAGAAAGGCACAAGAGCTATAAAGAAAATATAAACCGATTTAATTCATTAATTTAAAAAGACTTTATGAGGGCCAGCCAATAGCTCCACGGATTAAAGTGCCCGCTTGGGCAGAGTGCAGTGGCAGGGAGTTTGATCCCATTGCCTGCGCCGTGCTATGCCGGCCCCGGGCCCAGGGTGCGCTGAGATGGCGACAGACTGGGCATGGTGGCAGGCGCCTGTAATCCCAGCCCTTGGGAGGCTGAAAACAGGAGGATCACTATGAGTCCAATCTGTGCAGTGAGACTCTGTATACCCCATACAAGTAATAATAATAATAATAATAGCAATAGGCTTTATGATAATATTAATTCCCACAATTCCATGCATTTTTAAAAGTGGCTCACTGGAAAAAATATTTGCACATAAAAGACAAAAATGTAATATTCAGAAAATGTAAAGATTTTCATAAGGAAAAGATAAACAGAAATATATGTAAAATACGTGAATCAAAGGATTTAGTAGAGAAAATGTATAATTTTTGAGACAGAGACTCACTAGACAGTAAGGCTTGCCTTGAATTCTGGATAAGGCTCTTGCTCAGTTGCTCCACTGCTGAGCTTACAGGCATGCATGACCACCCTTGGCAAAAACTACAAAACACATTGTTTTAGGTGTATTTTTAGTACAGGGTCTACAGGTTCTCACTAGACAGATCAGACTCATAGGGTTCCTCCTGTTCTCAGCCTCCCAAGCACTGGCATTCCAGGCATGCACCACCATGTCCAGTTTCAATTACCATCTCAGCTGGCCCTGGAGTGCAGGGCTGGCAGAGCAAGCTGGGGATTGAACCCGGTCCCTGCGCCTGCCTAAGTAGGAGCTTTAATCCATGAAGCTGTCTGGCTGGCCCTTATATAATACATTTGAAAAAATAAGTACATATGAAAAGACATTTTTCCAATCAAGAAAGTACAAATTAAAACAGCAATGAAACAATAACCTGACATTAAAGGAACAAAATTTAAAATGATTAGTAATACCACTTTTAGCAAAAGGGGGAACATTTATTGTCATAGACTGTGTGAAGGTCAACTAGTTCTGCTCTTGGTGAATTTGATACAGCTCATTCGGAATTGTGAAATATTCCCCACACACGTGGGGTGTGCTTATGGAGTGCTGCTACGAGGTAGAAAGCTAGAAGACACCAAGACTGTTCTTGGCTAAACACACCCCATATTCACTCATGCATAAGCACTCAGAACTAGGAGGGCTTTCAAGTTACATGCATTTCTTAAACGTAGGCGCATTTTCTTGGTCCCAGGGATCGAACTCAGGACCTTACGCTGGCCAGGCAGGTGCTTATGCCGCTGAGTATCCACAGTCCTAACAGGGTAGATTTTTAAAGATACAGATCTAAGGTGACTTTTTTTTAAATGGTAGTTTTTTAAATATGTAAATGATTATATTAATCCTTCTTACGAGAAGGACTGGTTGTGGAGGCAGATGAGGTAGATACCGTGCTGATCAATTTTTCCAGTCAACCACAACACACTTGTAAAAATAAGAGAAAAGAAAATACATCTTTTATTCCTCCATCCCCAATACAGACCAACACATAAAGGAAAAAAAGCATTTTTATTTTAATTTTTAAAATTTTATTTGAAAAATACAATACACAGCAGAGAATTATTTCCCTCCCTACTGCTATTTCACAAAGGAAACTCTATGATAAAACGTAACTGAGATACTCGGCTAGCTATATCCTGAGAAAAGAGAGGCCCAGTTAGAATTACAGTGGGCAAAGTCTGTCAAAGAAGGTTCACCTCTCTTTTAACATAAAAGAGCCTTTTAAGTTATCTTAGGAATCAGATAAAACATGTGCAGAATTTCTGCCATGCAAACAAAGACTACTAAAATTTTCAGGTTGACCGATTTATACCAACCTGGGCCCCATATAAATAGAATAAAAAGGATATGTCTTTATCAGAAAGATGTTTGCCTGCCATATATATATATATATATATATATATATATATATATATATATATATATATGCCTATATATTATTTATATATAGGTATATATGTATCTTTTTTTGTTAAGTGCATTTTTCATTCTTCTCAGTAATAGAATCATGGATAAAAGGTTTGCTTGTTTATTTGTTTGGTTTTTGGCTGGCTTTTGCCTTACATGTATCATTCCTTGTTTCCCTGGTTTTCTTTTTTCTTTTTTTTTTCAGAACCAGGGATTGAACTCAGGCCCTTGCACTTGCCAGGGAAGCACTTATTCCACTGAGCCATCTCCCCAGTCCACCCTGGTTTTCTTTATGCTAGAATCATTTATTCTTGGATTCATGATGTTTAAATATCAGAAGTGACCTTATTGTGATCTAATTTAAATCTGAGTAAAATCTTTTTGAGTTTTTTGAAGAATTTACAATTCCTGTATTCAAACTAGGTTTAGTAAGGTACAAAGATACAACACTGACATACTAATATATGGGTTTTTTTGTTTTGTTTTGTTTTTGGGTACCAGGGATTGATTCAGGCCCTTGTGCTTGCCAGGCAAGTGCTTATTGTACCAAGTTATCTCCCTGGCCCAACATACTAATTGTTAACTAAGGTTTCCAATGATAAAATATTTCTGCTCAGGGACTTAGAAAGTTGATGGGGACCCCAAAGAACTGACCAGGCTCTAGAATTTAGTGATGATTCAACTTCCTAAAGCATTATGATCGTCCCCTTCAGGCCCATGGCCAATATCCAGATTCCTCATTGCTGCTATTGCTTAAAAATGAGTCTTCAAAGAAGAACAAAGCATTCAAAGATGTTTTCATGTTCTAAATTTCCAACAGAATCGAATTGCTATAAAGATTTAAAATTGACATTCATGTAGATTTACTTTATTTCAGTCTAGGAAATATTTTTAAGTCCTAGCATTGGAAACGGACCAGTAGCATCCATTTTGGAAGCAATGAACAAAGTTTGGGTATATATGGGCTGATTTCTAGCGAAATTACACAGTGAATTAAAAGTTCACTTTATTTCAATAGTAGAAAAATTCATTTCAATTGACTGCTACTTATATAAGCCAAAGTTACTTAGGTCAGCTTTGAAGTTGGCAAGGAAAATGTTGAGGAGCTCGCCATCTTCCTTTTCATGGTGACTTCCACCCTTAACTCCATCTGGTCACAGTAATTTAGAGCCCTTGGGTCTCCTAAATGGGGATTAGGGTCTGGAGGTGAGGGTGGAAGGAAAGACATCTGACTTAGGCTGCTTCTTTGTAGAGGGCCTCTCATCCAGACCCCATTAATTATTTACAAATAAGATTATAAATAAGTTACTATGTCATTGTGTGTTTAAAAAGTGTGCAATCTTAAAAAGTGGACATTTAAAATATAGCAGTTTTTGTAATCTTATTTTGCTATTTCTGCATTTCTTGAAATATAGGTAGTTTCACAGGACTTAATGACCTCTCTAAGGCCATGGTATCCAAAATTCACATGTTGGAAAAGGCTAGATGTTTGGAGACACTAAATTTAAACTTGGTTCTAACTCTGCCTCTTACTATTAGTGTGGGATCAGACTTGTTGTTTACTGTATCTTGGCTTCATTTTTCTCATCTATGAAAAAAAGCCACACTTGTAATATTTACCTGGGGCTATTGTGAGCATTAATGGAACCATAAAGCAAATGTAATTCATACTATAATGTACTACGGAAATGCAAAGTCAAATATATTAATTATATTTCTAGCAGTAATCTAATTTAAGTTGTGTGTTGTGGGTCGTTCTTTCCCATTTAAGTAATGCAAAGTAAGATCCAACAAAAAATGTCTAAGAATGGAGTGGGGCCTTCTGAGCACACTTGAGACACTCGCTATTGTCAATGGAAAGTTGTTCCATCATTGGCTGGATTTACTCATGTAATTGATCCTAAGTACTGCCAGCATTCAAAAACTACAAATCAACAATTAAACCACAACTGTCAGGAGAAAATCTCCAAATAAATAATTTTTAATTATGATACATTACTTATTACAGTAAAAATTGGCATTTTCCCCTTCAAAAGCAGAAGCACCAGTCTTAGAATGTAGAGTATGAATGGTAATTTAGGTGACATATAGCATAATATAATGTGCAAACATTATTTTAGTAGTATAGGACAGCAATTTCACATACTGAAATCTGTTAGAATGGGAATAATGTCATGCTGAATAACAAAATATAAACCCCCATGACTTCCAAAGTCCACTTCAAATTAAATATGATATGCTGCTGAACAGATAATATGAAAAATTAAGAAGTTTAGCCCCAAATATTGGTTTTCTAATACAAATATGACTCATGTCCAGGTTTTGTTTATACATAATCTCAGAAATTTTTGAAAAACTAGGGTGAACATTTTGTTTAGGAGTCAGTTTGTTCATGTGATCTTCTCATTTTATTGAACACCTACTTTGTGCTAGGTTTTGTTGTAGGTGCTGGGGATACAGAAAAGAAAGACACAGTCCTGCCCTCGAGGAGCTCACAGTCTAGTGGGGGAAAACAGATACACTGACATTAATTTTATAACTATAAAAATTATTAGACAACCTTATAAACTCCTTTTAAAATCAAACAAACTTTGGGTGTTATGAATGGATGGTAAAAAGAGATGATGTCCAATGCAGGGAAAACTCATCTGCTTCAATATCATGTGACCTCCGCGAAGGCGGTGATGTGGTTCTGCAAAAGAGAACAGGAATTAAAAAGTCAAAGCCTTGGGAAAGTTGGATTTGTCACATGATTTGGGCCTTTACGCACAACTAGACTAATACAAAACTCTAGCCCATGTATGTCTAAGTTGCCAAATCACACAGCATTATTAAACTACATTCTGTGTAGTGTTACATAATTTGAGCTGCTAATTACATATTTTATTCAATCTTCTCAATAAACAGACTAGATTAAAATGCTATTCCTGCCGTATTCAAAATTAACAAGGAAATTTAGGGAGATAAAAATGGCAATGCCAGACATGTTGATATTCTGCTCCAGTGCTCGTGGAATTTTAATGCTGCATTTTGGAGCGGAGGATTAATTGCTCCCTGTGAGACAGATGGCATAGAACGAGGAGGTGAAATGCTCCGAATGAGATGGAATTTGTTAGTTGACAACAATCTAATTAAATATTTCATTGGGGGGGCATGAATTCGGACTGCATGCAGGTCATAACCTCTGTTGTTCTACTATAATCACAGAATTCTTTATGAAGCCCTTTTTTTCTGTTCTTCTTAAAGCAACAAAAGGTATACAAAGAAATTCCACGGAATGTCTAACGTTTAAACAGATTCAGGCCTGCAACAATTCATATTATGACTGCTGAAACTCTGCAGTGTGAGGCTGATATTGTGTAATCAATTATGCCATCAAATGGTAATCTTGACATATGGGAGTCTGTCAAAATGTCACATGAGTAATAACCCCAGCAAACAGGGACATAACAAAAGCACTGTCACACATGACCCATTTGGAATGTTTTCCGCAGTAGTCATTGCATCGGTTGTCTGCAGTACAATAATATTCTAAGCAGAATTCTGTATGTTCAATGTCTCTCTTAAAATTTCTTCAACATACATCAGTTCTTTTCAAGTTAAAGTATTTTTAGCTAGTTAAAAGAGTCTTAAAATGTGTGCATTTTAAAATGTGTATATTATGATAAATTTAAAATTTATTTTTATTTTAGGCATATTAGACCACAGCTAGAAGAATATTAACTTCAATTTAGGACATTATTGTCTAGGTTTGACATAATACTGGAAAGAGAATATTCATAGGAATAAAAAATGAGCATAATAAGATTTTAAATAACTCCTGATAACTCTTTAAAAAACTTTAATTTTCCATTTTAAAAATTTTGGGAAATTCAACAACTCATCTCTAGCTTTTCTTGATAAAAGTGCAGTCAGGACTTTAAGATGAGGAAGGTTTATCACAGTTACACCATGTACTAAGACTGAATAAAAGTTATACGAATTCTGGGAAAAATACATTTTTACAGTGTTACAATTTTATTTCCATCAGTCCCATGTGGAAGTAAAATCAGTAAACTGAGAAAGACAATTTCATAAAAGAGTTTCAGCACAAAAGTCATGTAAGTCATACTCCTCAATGGGGCCCAGGACAAAATAACTGCTTGAAAGATGTTAAGATAGAAATTGAAGTTCAGTTAAATGGTGATTTGGGAGGAGGTGAAAGCATGAGAGGAAGAGAAGAAGGAGAAGGA